AGATTGCATTGTAGTTGTTGATCTGTTATTATTAGATTACAGTTTTCTATCGTATTAGTTTGTGTTCATTGGTTCATGTAGCTTTCTGTTAAGTCAAATAAGCCAATTGCTAGCAACCAAGTTGAAAAAGATGTGCAATGAAGATATGACAAGACATTCAAGCGTGTGTTCACTTTGGACAAGAGGGATAGAATCCTACTTTTTAGCTGGAATAGTTTTGTCGTGGATGTTCTGTCTTTTGCTAAGAACTAAGGTCGTGTCAGTCTTAATAAGCAGCTGTAATTATCTTTAAGACATCCATTTGTGGTAGTTTTATAAGTACACCTATCTTTCTTGTCTATAAATATGTGATGTTTTCTGTTTCTGAAAGACGTGTCTTAGTTGTTCTTGTTTGTCCCTCTGAGTTCCCACGGAGGCTCCCCAATTCTTGAGGGACACAGAATTCTGTTCTTCATAGATCCCAAATCTGAGATTTCTTGAAGAGAAAGTGACAAAAATTGCTTGATTGGAGGTCCACAGACCGGAAACTAGTAACATTCTTCTTCTCCATCTGTTCTGGTTTGTGTTCTTTTCCCTTCATTTGGTTTAAAAGGATGGCTCTAAAATATGTTTCATGTTGATTTTCTATATGCATTCTTGATCTTGATGCAAATTAACACATTGATCTAGTTTAGCTGTTTGTATTTTGTCTTAGTGTGGCATCTTTTATAGATCCTGTTGTTTAAGATCAGAAGCTTTTCATTTTCAAAATTTTCCAAGGATTTTAAGAATGTTCTTAGAAATAGAATGGTTATCAAATGGCCCCATTCAATTTTCTGCTTATGATTTTCTTTAATCAAGTTATGGTCCATAGTGTTCATATCTTCCTACAAGTTTTAGTTCCCGAATTCATGGTTTCTATGACTTCTAGGTGCTGGTACTTCGTTATGGAAAGCGGAACATATCAAGAATATAAGCCTGAGGAGTTGTCTGAGGTTCCATCATTAATCAAACACATATCATCAATTGAAGTGGTTCCCTTTGATGGGATAGAAGAGGGTAGCCTTCCAAATAATCATTCCCCCTCTACCCTGCCTACTGTAAGTTCTTACAAAATCATGTGTATTTATTTTAGTGAAGTATTGGATATGGAACAAATGATTTTGAGATCGTATCAGCGTGATCATCTCGAGACGTTCTTGTTGTTGATTGACTTCTGCTTTAGATGACTTGGAATACTTAGAATTCTGGGAGAAAAACATGTATCATGGTGGTCAGGTGAATAATGGACTTCTTTTTTCCATAAAAAACAGGGAAATGCATTATCACCTGCTGAGCAAAGTGATGATGAACTTCAGTTCATTAACCATCAAAGAAAGCATTCTGTTTCTATCAGTATGCCACCCTCCCCTGTGGGAGTTCACTTACAGCCTTCAAAACGAGTTCTATTCGGTGGCGAACAGATTCTAAACAATGAAGCCTTGGGTCCTGCTGCTGGGGCCAAACCACAGAAAGCTGCAAAGTTTCACTCTCAGCCAATTCCGAGGGGTTCTACGTTTGACGTGTCGAGGAACACGAATGCTGCACATCACCCTAGTATGAGAAGATTGAAGGACAAAAGATTTGATTCCTTCAAAACATGGTCTGGAAAACTTGAAAGGCAATTAACTCTACTTAGTGGAAAGTCAGCAAGACAAACTAGGCCAGAGGAAATTGAAGTGCAAAGAGAAGGAATCGAGAATAACATACCGGTTCACCGTTACTTCGATGCATTGGAAGGTCCAGAGCTGGAAACTCTAAGGGTATGTACTCCTATTCTCAAGTTCTTAACTCATGCCAATGTATCATATATCAATATCTTCATGTCTGAACAATAGAATGACTAGTAAAAATTTGGTGCTCTAGCATCCTGCTAAAATCAATTTGGTTTGTATTATTTATCTGGTTACCACTAGTTCAAAGCCTTGCATTTCGAAGGCGAAAATGGATCTTCCCATCAGATGAAGAGTTAGTGGGAGTTTGGTATGACTTTCGGAATATGAAAAGACGTTCTTGACCGATTAGAAATAATTTTGAACAATTTGTTTTCCATTTTTAAACAGGCTTCAGAGGAAATACTGCTTCCAGAAGACAGGACATGGCCTTTTCTACTCCGATTTCCTATCTCGTCGTTCGGTATCTGTCTTGGTGTTAGTAGCCAAGCAATCATGTGGAAAACACTGGCCACTTCTGTCTCCACGAAGTTTCTTCATTTGAGCTTGAAAATAAATCTCATTTTATGGATAATTTCCATTGCTCTTGTAGTCACCATCGCTTCCGTTTACCTTCTGAAAATGCTTCTGTACTTCGAAGCAGTTCGTCGCGAATACTACCACCCTATTCGTGTCAACTTTTTCTTTGCACCGTTGATATCTCTCTTGTTCTTAGCCATTGGTGTTCCTCCATCAGTTGCCACTAACCTGCATCCAGCCATTTGGTATGTTCTCATGGCTCCATTTCTATGCCTTGAGCTTAAGATTTATGGGCAATGGATGTCAGGAGGCCAACGCAGATTGTCAAAAGTGGCTAATCCTACAAACCATCTTTCCGTTGTGGGGAATTTTGTGGGGGCTTTGTTGGGAGCCTCAATGGGACTAAAGGAAGGGCCCGTATTCTTCTTTGCTATTGGAATGGCTCACTATTTAGTCCTTTTTGTAACTCTCTACCAGAGACTACCAACCAATGAGACACTCCCAAAGGAACTGCATCCAGTGTTCTTTCTTTTCATAGCAGCACCAAGTGTGGCATCCATGGCATGGGCAAAAATTCAAGGTTCCTTTGACAACGCTTCACGAATCATTTACTTTATCGCCCTGTTCCTCTACTTCTCACTGGTTAGTCTCTATGCAGCTCATTTCTTGTATTTCAGCCTCTGTTTACTAGTTGTTTTATGGGTCAAGATTAAGGCAATTTGATTCATGGTGACCTGAAAAACTTTGCTGTTCTTTCTTCATGGTTCTGTTGATCGCTTAATTCCACGGTTCTTTTCAGGTTGTTCGAGTCAACTTTTTCCGGGGCTTTAAGTACGACACAACTTTCTTTCTTCTCTTGAAACTTTTACATTCTTTACAAGTTAGTTATCTTACAAACATTTTGTTTTGAATCAATAGGTTCTCGCTGGCCTGGTGGGCATATACTTTTCCCATGACTGGTGCTGCAATTGCAACTATAAAATACTCAATTGAAGTTACAAATACAGTAACACAAGTTCTGTCTGTTGTACTCTCTGCCACTGCTGTAATCATAGTGACAGCTCTCCTTGCATCAACGATCATCCACGCCTTTGTGCTTCGTGACCTCTTTCCTAACGACATCGCTATTGCCATTAGCAACAGAAAGCCGAAACCACAATGGAACTGGTTGCATCATCTAAAACAAGGAAGTTCAGAAGCTCAAGACATTGAAAACTTCTTGAAGTTTTCAAACTCAGATAACAAGGATTTAGAAGCATCTGAAGGACCATCAACCCTCGTAGGCCGAGACACGAACCTCCAACCGTCAAACGAATAGCTCCGCTGACCACCACTCTCAGCGGGCAGAGACATGAACGTCCAACCATCAAGTTATTAGCTCCACTTCTCTCAGGTTCACCCCGGTATAAAAACCACCGATCGAACATAGGAAGAAATTGATTTTGTAGTTTGAATGGCTCCAATGAAACAGATTTTGTTAGAAATATATTATGATTCGTGTATGAATATCTATGATGTGCTTGATTTCCTGTTCATGTGAGATATGAATAAAGGAACTATGTTGAAGTATCCAAAGTCATGGGGTTTTCTAATTTTCAGCTGTGTTACTGGCAGTAGTAGGACAGTGAAAACCTTAGCCACTCAAATGAAACATTTGATGTTGGATTGTCTGTCTTGTTCTCTGCCTTGAAAAGTTGTAATGGTTATCCATTCGTTTGGAGTTTTGAGCTGACAGAAGAATTGGAGCATCACAGTGATGTGCTCTGCTTATGCCTACAGTGACTGGCAAAGTGGTGTGAAGCAATGGAAGCTTCGGTCCCCACAGTAATGGAAGCAATTTCTTGTGAACCAGAAAATTCCAATGGAAAGAAAACAGATATGCATTGTTATCAGAATCTGGCCTTTCTCCCAACACACTTTGTCCTTGTCTCCTTAGCCTGGAATGTCCTACTTCTACTCGACCTTTTCGATTAACCAATCTCCTAATTGTAAGGATATCTCTATCTTAGGGAGAAGTAGAGTTAGAGATCACTAATTAGTCGAGCTTATACCTCTGGCCTATCATTGTTGGGTTGATTGTTTGAAGTTAAGTCTCGTTAATAAGATTCGATTGGTAGGTGCTACCAATTCTTGTATATTGAAATTTTTTTAGTATACCTGTTGCTCGAACAAAAACACATGGATGTAGAGGCTAAGTTAAAGCATGCGTTGCACATTTTATTTTCAAACACATTTTTGTCTGGTTGAAGCTCGAAAGAAGTTATAAATTAGCGGGGATAACTCAGTTGGGAGAGCATTAAACTGAAGATCTTGAAAGTTTAAATCAAAATTTATTTTATTTTCAAACACATTTTGTCTAGTTGAAAGCCCAAAAATACGAAAGTTGAAGCTATAAATTAGTGGGGATAGCTCAGAGAGTGGCAAACTAAAGATTTGAAGGTCACGTGTTTGATTCATTGTGCTTTTTAATTTGGTCTCTTATATTATTCTATCATTCTCCACGGGCACTCAAGGAACAACGGGGCACTCATACGTCTTGGAGATGGAGGAGGTCGAACCAAGGACCTATGGACTCTGTAAGGAGACGAATGAAGTTGCAAGACTAGAAAGTAAAGTAACTCTACGTCTAAATATCTCATAACTACTTATTATCATTTCTCCTCCGACCGTGCGGGTCATAGCTCTCAAAAATGTTAAAACACAAGGGACTAAAGTGAAATTTCTTAAACATCAAGGACCAAATTGAAAACACAATAAAAGAAATGGAGCTAGAGAGATTTGGATGGAATGTTTAGAAGTCAAAATCAAGAGAGAGCCTTCATTGTTTGATTGTATTTATGACACAAAAGTTTGAAATAGGAGAAGTGTGGGTGTGATCCAACACCAAAAAAGGAGAAAGGGAGAGATTTTCCCTCTTCAATTTATGGTTCGTGTTCCACAAAGGAATAAAGGCAGCCAATATTTAATATCAATGCCCACAATTTCTCCTTCCTCTTTACTCACAAACACAAAAAACATCACCATTCAAACAAAACAGACAATCAACAACTCTACTGCCCCCTATGTTCATCATGTTCATCATGTTCATCATCTTCATCATCTTCATCATCTTCATTTCCCTGATGAACACAAACAGTTTCGAATCGACCCGTTTAGATATATCAGCTTTGATTCATCCAACATATTGAAACTAATTAGGATAAAGTTCACATTTTTAAAGCTAATGAGAAGTAAAGAACGCACCTATGGACCTTTTGCAGTGGAGAACTGCATCATAAATTGAGCTCTCAGAATCACAAGATCTTCTCCACTGCTGGGTTTCTCTTGAAATTGGGCGGCTAGATCCTCCATGGAACAATTTCTCCACTTTCCCTTGAATTCTTCTGCAAATTGGCCTAAAAAAGTTCAAATATTTCTCAAAAACCTGCCTTGATAATCTCCGGCACGACTTTCTCAATGAACACGACGAGTCCAGTTTTGCCAGTGGCTTGACGACGGGTGAAGCAGCGGCACTCGGCGTGTACGCCTGAAAGATTAGGAGAACGCAAAAAAGATTTGAGCTTTACATGTTTTTTGTAATATAAATTGATTTAGAAGAGAGGGCTTACAGGGAGGAGGTAGCCATTAGAGATGAGCTGATCAGCGTGGACGAGAGGTAGACACGGGGACGGGGACGGAGAGGGGAAGTTGAAGTCGTGAGAAGGGCGAGAGGAGGAGATCAAGAATCTCTTGGAGGGTGGCATTGTGGGATCCATCTCAATGAAGGAAGCTTCATCAAGAGAGGTTCTGAAGGAGTTAGGACGGCTTTCAAAGGATGATCTGATGTTCACCAACCACCTGTATGAGAAGCTTTCTATGGACAGTGGCTGAGAAGAAGCTTCCATGGCTGCGGAAGAGGAGGAGGAAGAAGGAGAAGGCTTTGTCAGCCTTCTGCTATATGGGAAAGATGGGATACAATACTGATCAGGTCTATATTTATAAATAGTCAGAAAATGGAAAGATTTGTATAAGTTATACCTTTCGTCACCACTTTGTGGAAACTCGTTAGGTATGAATATGTTAGATACCTGTGACTCGATTGGTGAAATAGTATCTCTCTCCAAAAAAGCATGTTTTTTTTTACCGCCGCACAAAGAAATGGCCGGTATCGCTCAGTTGGTAGAGCAGGGGACTGAAAATCTTCGTGTCACCGGTTCAAATCTGTCTCCTCCCCTCTTCCATTCCGTCCCAAAGAGTGACCGGGACCAATTCAGTCACGTCCTCATTGGATTTTGAGTTTCACCTTAAAATCTTAGTTGCCTTCACTTATACCGCCATGATATTTTTCTTTTATTCAAATTTGTCTTATATATATTATCAGATTTTTTCAAAATGTAGTAGAAAATAAAAACAGATTTATCATTGATAAAAGCACTTTTGAATATTGGGTAAAAAATATAAGATTAATAATAAGTACAATTGTCTTTTTATAAAAGAAAATCTGTATTACTATACATTAAATTACTCTTGGGCAAATTTCATGTTAAAATATGAAAATTTTGCTAAGGTGGGCTACACATTCTGATTTTTGTGTAGTGGAACCAAACAAAATATAAAATTTTAATAAGATCAAAATTTACAGTTAAATCAACAGCATTTACCTCATAAGATCTAAGAATACAAAGGCATTCCAAAGGCTATGCAATAACATTGATGGTAGAAGGTTCCTTGTCCTTGCAAATACAGTACCCATCACCACCCCAAGCAGTATCAGAGGTAGCATCTTCTGCATATTGAAATGTGCTAGAGCAAAGGCAACTGAACTCACCAAAATGGAGCACCATACCGGCATATATTTCGTCAGCGACGGTAGAAGGAACCCACGGAACACGATCTCCTCCCAGATGGGGGCACACACGGACACGACCACTGCATAGAGTGCCATTGCCACCGGGTCTCTAGCAACGATTGATTGCTCGACACTCGAGACGGTAACTGGGGCGGATGGAAGGATGGGCAACAAGTTTAGATTCACCTGTGAAAGACGGTTAATGAGTGGAAACATAAGGCAGCCTAAGCCAACATCGAATTGCCAATTCCCTTCAAAGTGGAATTTGAACCAGCCGGGAGGAAGGGGATGGAATCTTGAGAGGCAGCGATGCAGAATCGCCATCCCAGTAAGCCCTTCGACCACATCTGTTAGAAGGCTGTACAAGGCTTGCCCTCTGTACGTCATGAATTCCTTTCTGTATCCTGCTGTATGGGCTATTATTGGAATTATCCATGATCCGATTACCCAGAATGATGCAACCCAGAGAAGCATGACCTACACCACCAGAAAACTCTTCTTTAATTCATTTAACTGCACACGACTTGCTAATCCAAATATCAATTTCCTGCAGGGCTCACTTTGGCCAACAAGCATACTTTACAAATATATATAAGAGCCGAACTCGATGTTTCATCTTAATGCCTACAAATGTGTAATGATACTAACATAAACAGCCATATTAAATTACATCACTGGTGAAATTTTCAGCTGCTTGTCATGAGAACATCACACATCACATATTACTTATACAAGAGAAACAAATCACGAAACAGTTCCAAATACAGAAAACAAGGGCATCACCTGAACAATGGTTTTGGCTGTCCATGGAACAACCCATGGCTTTGCAACAAATATTGGTTCAATGACCTGAGATAGATATAAAAATTAAATGATTGAAGGCAGTAAGTTTTTTGATCACATGTTGAGAGTCACTCACTAAATCAAATAGATAGAAAAGTAATCAACTAGAATAATTTGCAAAGGAAAGAAAGATTCTATGAAAAAGACGTGATGCACAAGATTTAGTAAGGTATAAAGTGAATAAATCCCAACAACAGCAACAAGTAAGAAGAAAAACCCCTCCAACCTCAGTTTGAACAGGACAGCAACAATTAGGAAAATGAACTCTGTTTTGGCTCCTATGAAAAACAAAGAAGGAACTGATAAAGCTAATTTGGCCGTGGACTTTCTTAGTTTCCAAGGCCTTCAGGATTCTAAAAAGTAGAAGACAGAATCAGGCAACAAGAATCAAAGATAAGTTTTGCTTAGTTGTTTGACGCCATTCAAATGGGATAATCAAAAGAAAAGTGTTAAGCAAATTAGTTCGTACAAATTCCTGTTTTGAAGAAGAAACATAGATTTCATTGATAAATGAAATATACAAAAGGGGAGGCAAAAACCTCCCAAGCCACACAAGGTGGGTGACAAAAAACATCTCCATCTAGAAACAAGAGTAGTAAAGCCGTAATCATTAAAAGGATGATGGCATTTAAACACGTATAAGGCAGTCAAAAGAGCCAAGTCTAAAAACATCGTACAAATTCCTTTGTTCCCCATCTTTTTGATAGGTGGCAACATATCAATGACAATTTGTAAAATTGAACTTAAGATGCTAAGAAAATAAATGACAGTAACATAATATTCTGATCAATAATAAGTGGTAAGATATCATTTAACAGAAAAAAGGATAAATGAGATGTTACTTTTTCCACTCCTCGTTTGTTAGATAGTAACTTATCGATGATATTTAGGTAAATTGAATGGTAAAAGGAAGCCAGAGAATGCTTCTTGAAATAAAAGCTTGGAAGGTGTGGTTGCTTGCTTTGTTGTTTGACACCACTCAAAGGGAAAAATCACAAAAAAGTGCAAGGCAGATAAGGTTGTGCAATGTGCAAATTCGTTTGGCCCTTATTATTCTGATAGGTTACATAACAAATCAATGTTGGTAGGTAATTTGAAACGTGGAAAATAAAGAATGAAAAGGAAAAGAGGGTTTGTCCAAGTGAGCACTTGTGTGAATCTCCATAGAATTATCTTCACAAAGACAAATTGCAAATATAAAAACTGCCCCTTGCTAGAGGCATTCATTATAGCCAATGGCTTGGAGTGCAAAATACCACAACTCAGCCATTGCCATAGGCTATCACTTGGTTTTTAATTTCATAAACTCTCCTAAGAACTATAAAAAGAACTTAAAGGAAATATTCTCCTCTACATTTCCACGATGATGATGGTAACAACAATAATTATTGTTGAATGCTATTACTATAGAGAATAAAATAGACAAGTTGCTGCTGTTGAACGTGATGCATAGTAAAATAGAATATCTACAACACTAAACTGTTAAAGAAACTCTGGAAATAACAAATGTTACCAAACTACAATAAATAATACAAAATAACTCAAAAGAGCCATATCCAACACATACATCAGCCTGTTTTCTCGGCCATGCTATTTAGTCAACTGTTCTGACTATTATAGCTTATTACCAAGTTTGATCAACTAAATGTTGAAGTAGTTACATATAACTTATCACTCACAGAGAAAGAGTATACTTGGTCCTTATTTTATTACCTCATCCAATTTTCTTTCATCAAGTTTTACATTTCCTATTTCATTCATACATAACATAAACACATATACTTCACTCGGGATTTAAGTAAACAGGGTACAGAGCTACCGTTTAGGAGAGACAAGAAATAAAATCCTCGACAATTGAAGAGTATAAAGTCATTCAAATGATGTGAACATATATTTACCTTGTATAAACTAGACACCCAATCTTTCCTTGTCTCACTGGATTGGCTGACTTCGGGGGTTGCCACCAGGTCTTCTGCCAATTTTTCTTCCGCAGACTTGGACTCAAAATTTTCCGGTGAGGACTCTTCACGCCGAAAGCACAGAATCTCCCATTTCTTCAAAGCAAAAACAATTGGATGGAGAAGAAGGAATAACCCTCCAGTGAAAATTCTAGTAGACCAATTTCACGATTCAATGGAAAAGAATCATATTCGAACTGAACTACCAATTGAATTAATGTAACGCATAAGTTCAGAAAAGCTTCAAAATCAATAAAAAATAAAAGACACCCAATAATCATACATCATTTCTTATCCAAAGCAACATATAACACATCTGACGCTACATAACGGAAACCATAAATCATCGTTTCTCTTGTGAGTGGGAGAGAGAGAAAGAGCTTACATTTCTGCGGCGTCGGGAGAGAGTACTGACGCAATGGATGCTTGAATTGAGAGTAAAACGGGGGAGCAAAGGCTTTAAATGAACCCTAATCGAAAACCTAGAATTGGAAGGAGCAAAACGAAAGGAGAAAGAATGGCAACAAGGACTTGGTGCAGCCGACATTGGTGAAGCGCCGGATCAATCAGAATCCGAAAATAGTGAAGGAACCGATTACGCATGGACGGAACAGAACAATGCGATTAAAATAAAAAAAAAAAAAAAAAAAAAAAACCCCTAAAATCCGGAAGTAGCAACTACTCTCCTCTTGTCTTAAGCTCCTTCTGCAGGTGGAGAGAACTGGGAAGGTCAACGACGGCGACGAAAGGCGATAACAAGTTGAGTGAGCACCGAAGCATCATCAACGAGCGCGTGGTTCGATTGAAATCGTCGGAAGAAACCAAATCAGGCGTGTATTCGAAGACAAACCCCTCATTCTACGTGATTGCCTAATTTCTCCCTCTTTATCTTTATTTAATTAATTTTTTTTTTTTTTTTTTTATTTGTTTCAACTCCCATTTTTAGTTTAAATTTTGTCGATACATTATTACCCTTCAAATTTTAGAATTTTATTTTAATGTACGGTCTACTTTTGTAATTATGTAATGAAATATTGACAATTAATTAATTTTAAAAATTACCTTAATTAAGTTAAAATTCAGGAATAAATGTGTAAAATTTTGAAAAAACTAAAAAATAAAGTTATAAATGTAACTATTTAAAATTTAAAAATTAAATAAAAACTATATTCAAGAGCATAAAATATATATTTTTCCCTCAACTTTATAACAAAATTATTTAAAGGAATTTTATAATTCTAACTTAATTTAATTTAAGGAAAAAAAAAAAGGCAAAATGCATTTTTAATCTTGCGGCCGGTTTTCACTAAATTGCACCCGACTCACAATGTGCTGGA